TGGCAAGGTCAGGGGGCACTCTGGGGAAGAGTCGGGGTCATGCCACTGATGGGATGGAGCGCCTGGTAAGTAGACCCCAGCCGGCTTGTCAAGGAGAAACTAGTTCACATCTAATCCACACATTCTGTGATTCACAAAGATGTGCCTTTGAACAACATCTCTATTTCATCACAGAATTATTACCTCTAGAAACAGAATAATCTGAGCAGAGATAAAACATGGTAAAACAAAAAAGATTAAACAATAACGAAAGCACATCTGTAATCATGTCCTGTTCCTAAAAATAAATACGACCTCATTAATTCAGACTTATTAATTGAAAGGCAATTTGAATTTTTACTGAGGAGTCTTAATCACACACAACTGTCCAAAGTGTGGAGTAACAAATTAAGGGAGCTAACGTTGGCTGGTGGAGATTCATAAGAAAGGTGCACTAATGGGTACCAGGAATGCCCGGTATACGTCATGTTAATTGTGTATCGAGGCCAGGCCTCTGGTGTTTACAGATGCCTGAAGAATATGTCCGATCCGTAATTTCTGCCTCTCCGTGCTATCTTAGGTATAGGCATGTTTTTTCACACTATGAAGAAAAATCTGTTCAGCCACTTGCAAAGTCAGTGAGGTAGTCCTTCCCAGAAATTCGGTGTGTAGAGAGCAGGGCTGGAACCCCACACATACATATATTAGTTTGTTTTAATGCAAACTTAATTTTTGCTTCTTTAAGGAAGACTGGTATCTCTTTATCACTAGGAACAATATTCAAATGGCCGAACTCATGCTGGGTCACACATCATTCTTGATGTTCTTAAAATATTGCGTTTGGTCATGTTCTTACTGGTGATGTTTATGTCTGCCAGTGTAGTCTTTGTGCTTGACTATTAAGTTTGGTTTGTCTTTGCAAAATCTTTCTTTAGTTTTGTTAGTCTAAAAATATGCATATGATGATGGCATCAGACCTTGGCCAGCTGCTTTTTGTGCAGGTCACAGATTGACTTTTCTCCAGTGGTCAGGTGGAAGTAGTGGTCATTACCAAGTCCCCGGCTGACACCTCGTTCTACGTGAGGCCTGTTTTGGCCCCTGTATATGAACCTCGGCCCCGTGGGTTCGGCACAGAGGCCAGCTGTCCCTACAGCTTTGATCTCTCCTCTGCTGAAAGTGGCACTGCTATTCAGCCACAGCTCCTGATTGCCCAACAAAGTGCAAATATTCCAAATCACAGCGTGAGAATGGTCACGACTCATGAAAGCGGGGTAGACACACAGGTTAGGGGTGATGTGAGAACATCGACTTACACATCTTTCATAGCAGTGGGCGAGGGTCAAAAGACATAATTCAGAATTAATAAATCAGGTAATGAAGATATGAATGTACTTAAAAGTGTAAAGGCAAGTACCAGGAGAAATAAAAGCAATAGAGTAACCAAAATTGTGTGACAGAAAAGGCAGGTATAGGAAGAAGGGGAACTATGCTAATTTTAGCATCGTTCATAGTGAAGAGTAATAGATACTATCTAAAGAAGTAGAGGATTGAGTAAGTTACATAAATTGTAACTTTAATTATAGGAAAACCAAAAACAGATGATAAACCTTCAAAAGAATCAGAAGAGAAAACACACATTCAACAAAGCAAACGCCAGCCATGGGGATTCTAATGAGAAAAGCAAACTGCAGGTCGGGGTGCCTCATAAGCTACCGCTACCGAGTTCATGAAAGAATGAGGGCGTGTTCCTAAATGACTTTATGTTCCTCTACCCTTAGATCATCACCAGGGAGATACCTAGGAGCCAGGAGTCATGCTCGCTCAGGGGAGGGGATCGGGAGGCACAGGGGTCAGGGTGCAGGGAGACATGCTTCACACTTCTGCATTATTTTTGAGCAATGTATATATAATACAATTTAAAAAGTAATAATACGTTTCAATATAACATTTTAATGCCTTTATTGAAAAAAAAGCCTAGAAGTTTTACAAGATGAATATTGATTCCCTGACAAGAGATGTTGTTCCCAGTTTGAAGGCAGCCACCAGAGACCTTAGAATTTGGGTAGTTCTGTGCTTGTCACAGACTGACCTTCCTCTAATGACCAGGGAACAGGAACTTCTTGGAAAATACACACTTCAAGGGGAAACTCCCACTTATGGAATACCTGCTCTGTGCCTAGCTCAGTGTTAGGTACGCACCATACATAGCTAGCTCAGTAAGGCCTAATAAAATTGGAGATGTGGGGCTGGCCCGTGGCTCACTCGGGAGAGTGTGGTGCTGATAACACCAAGGCCACGGGTTCGGATCCCATATAGGGATGGCCGGTTAGCTCACTGGGTGAGCATGGTGCTGACAACACCAAGTCAAGGGTTAAGATCCCCTTAGCGGTCATCTTTTTAAAAAAAAAAAAAAATTGGAGATGTGACTCCCATATTATAACCAGAGTCCTGGTGCTGCCAGGCCTCAGGCATCTGCAGAACCATCACAGCATTGGTGCCTGGGGAGAACCAGAGGCCATTGGAATAAAATCCCATGGAGACTGTATGAAAAATAACTCTGCAGTAAAGACAAAGAGGCCACCAGGACACCACAGGACCAAGGGACTGCGAGGGAAATGACAACCTGCCAGCCATAGGAGGTGGACAGCCCATTCTTGGTCTTATTCTGTGATAGTATTAAAGCCAAGAATGACCATGCCTTGAGTGCTGTGCCCATGGCAGGTCATTGCAAACGCGATCTCACATAACCCACCCAGCAGCCATGTGAGGTGTCTCCTGTCGTCCCCCATATAGTTTAACACACTGAGATTCAGTGAGATTAGGTCGCTTGTTCACAGTCACATAGTGGAGAATTTGCAGAGCCTGGGTTCCGCTAAAGCACGTGTCCTTCACTTCTATGGGACACTGTTTTTTGTTGGAAAATACACTCTATGGTAGTCATCTGGGATATGTGCTGTAGAGTAACTAGAGTCTGGCAAGAGGACTGTTTCCCTTTGCTGAAAGATTGGGGTGGATGTTTTCTTTGCACAGGAAAAGCAAGACAGCTCAGAGCTCCAGCCCCGGCTCCCTTGTTACTTTCTCATTAGTGACCTGCTTAACTTCTCTGAGCTTTGCCGCTTCGTCATATGCTACCTACGGGATATTGGGAGGGTTTGGGGGAATGTAAGGACCGTGGGAGCACAGCAGGATACCACCTGCACAGGGTATGCTCAGCTGCGGTAGCTGCTGCTGTTACGTTTTTCTCATCTTCAGGGTGCTAGGTGTCCGGGAGTGTCCAAAGGCTTGAGATTAGATTCCCCTTGCACCCACGCTGCAGACTGCCCTCCCTGTGACTGGGCCAGGGAGAGGAAGGAGGGACAAGAGGTCTGGGAGAACTGGCAATCGCTGGTCAGCGAATGGGAAGGGACAGGCTTCTAGCAGGACACCCTTGCCAGAGGCCTGAAGCCAGCTGGGCCACATCCAGGAAGACCGTGGGACCCATGGTCCCTGTGGCAGGGAGAAAAGCCTGTCCCTCGGAAGCAGAGCAGCAGCCATAATGGCATCTCAGGGGGCCTGAGTTCAGGGTCCTGCAGGCACCTGGGCCTACAGGTGGTGTCACTATGGACAGGGCGGGGTGTGTCATCCACCAGCCTGTCGTGATGGTGATGACACCGATGATGACCAGGCAAGGCTGGGGCTTAATGTTAGGATGCACTCAAGTCTGACCTCCATGTAACTGCCCTCCTGGCCTCCCGTATGGCGGGCTGGGGAGAGGCTTTGTAAACAGTCAGATAAGTGTCAAAGTGCAGGAACTGGGAAGAGGCCAGAGAGCGTGGTTACCATTGGAGCCAAAGAGCATACGGGAAGGAAGGACAAAAGGAGTGGAGGTGTGTCACCTGGAGTAGAGAGAGCTGGTGGAATTATCCAGCCCTTTCACAAGGCGGGCGGCCTCCTTCCTGCAGGTGGCTGCCCCACTCAAAAGCTGCCCCGGGTACAGGCAGAGCTGGCGAGGACAGAGTTCAGCTCTACTGGTTTGATCTCCCCCTTGTGTGTTGCCCCTGGTTTAACTTGCACAGTTGGGCTGTCATTAGTTTTTCGGATGCCACAGCACCCCATCAGTTCTGGTTTTAATCAGTGCAGGAGCTCAGCAGCTGGACCACAAGTTGACTGTGAGCCCAAAGGAGGCTGAGCCTGTGTGGCTTCATGAGCTGGGCCAGGAAAGCTGGCAAGGCCTCTTCAGATGCTGCAGGGGAGGCCTCAGGGTAGCCTGGTTGGAGAGGTTTGATCACTAATAACTTCTGATCAACCACAAACCCTTAATAATCAAGGAACTTTGAGAGATGTGTGGAGCCAGTGGAGCCTCCCTGAACTGATTAATAAGCATAGGAGGAGGATCATTTAAAGTGCAGAGGCCTCGCTCAGAGCTGTCATGGTGGGGCTGCTCAGGAAGGGTGGGGGAGCAGAGAGGAGCGGCTGGGCTGCCACTGGGCCTGCTGGAGGCACTGAGGATCTAGGCTCGCAGGCAGACTGCGGAGACAGGGAGGGAGGATGAAGAACAGATGTGACGGCAACTGTGCTGCAATGTGGCTGCAGGCCACGCTGTTGTTGGCAAATATTTAAGAGCTTTCTACCAGAGGGCACTGCCTTCTGCCTGCTGGGATGAGGGGAAGGGACCCATCACAGGTGGGGATGGAGGAGGGACAGAAAGGTTACAAGCACGGTGCAGCACCCCCCTGGTTCCTGGGGCATTCTCTCGGAGTGCTAGTGTCCTCGGGAAAGACAAAACTGTTTTCACATCTTGTTCCTGTGAAGGATGAAGAGAGAAAGGAGTTTTACAGGGGATTATGCTCAGAGGCCCTCCACTCGTCACTGCAGGTGTGGGAGTGATCTCTCCACGGCTGCCTCTGAGAACAGGGAAGAAACAAATGGCCTTGTTTGGGTTTCCAATCCAGAAGTGATTGTGGGGTGGTGGAAGCGCGCCCATGTGAGTGAGTGAAGGGCTAAGCGGTGTCCCTGTCTGTCCCTGCCGGCCCCGCCTGTAGGGTACCAGATCGCCTACCGCCTGGCCAGTAGCAGCCCCAACACGTTCACTACGGTGGAGGTCGGCGCCACTGTGCGGCAGTTCACAGCCACCGAGCTGGCCCCGGAGTCCGCATACATCTTCAGGCTGTCTGCCAAGACGAGGCAGGGCTGGGGGGAGCCTCTGGAGGCCACCGTCATTACCACTGAGAAGAGAGGTAAGACCTGTGGGCCCAAGCTCACTGCACACATGGCAGGGGAGGAAAGATGGGCTGGGATGGGTGCTGTGAACTTGGTAGGCAGGCGGAACTCTCAGTCAGGCCCCCTGTGGTCTGCACAGTGGCGAGAAGCTTGGGCCTTCCCTTTAGACAAACAGAAGGGACGTGAGTGTTATTGAGTGCCCAGTGTTTATTGAGCCAGATTCAGAGCTGGGCATCTACATAATAAAACCTTTAGCCACCTGCCACTCTCTCAGACAGGTGAGATTATCCCAGGTTTAAAGATGGAAAAATGCAGCTAAGAGAGGTTGTATAACTGGTCCAAAGTTGCACAGAGAGTCATCCTGTTTGAGGGTAAACTCCCTGAAGTCAGGCTCCTGGTCCCTGATGTGAATACCTATTCTGCTCCAAGCACTGTGTTAGCGGCTCAGTGTACTTTACTGGAGCCTATGGAGGAACATCTTCGATTTCACAGAAGATGAAATTGAGGAAATTGAGACATTTACTAATTTGCCCAGGACACACAGCTGTGGAGTTAGATTTGGACGCCCCTCTGACAGACTGCAAGGCCACCTTTTCCCAGGAAAGCCTGTTGGGGGCTTCTGTCTCGCGGGCTCCTGCACATGTCCACAGGCCCAGCTCTGGAATCTGCCACAGCACCCCCAGGGTCAGTGCCACAGGGCCCTCACCTCAGCAGCTTTGGCTCCAACTCCAGGTTCTGAGGTCACAGCCAAACCCAGAGATCTTGAGGGAAATGAAGACAGGAGGGAGTTTCCCAGGCACAGCTGATGAGAAAGGTTCTGAGCACATGTCTCTGGCCTCACTTCTGAGAGTCTCACTGGGGAGAGCTCAGGCTCTGGAGCTGTGTGACCTTGGGCAAGTTTCTTCCCCTCTCTGTGCCATGGCTCCTCATCTGTAAAATGAGATAATGATGGCAGCATTTGTGTGAAGCAGAACAGTGCCCAGGATGCCCCAAGCAGCTGTCAGCACAGTCCTCAGAGCTCCCTAGGGAGCGGTGCTGGCACAGTGTAAGTGCTCAGTAAATGAGAGCTAATGTTATTGTTGGCATTTGTGACTATTTTTATTGCCAGATCTAAAGCAGACAATTTAAGGGAGTGATGAGTTGACCTCAGAGCGCTTGAAAAACAATTCCATTCTTAAATCTAGAAAAGGAAGGAGAAAAAGGAGATTAACATTTACTGAGCCCTTACTATGTTCTAATCACCTTGCTAAGCATTGCCATGTCTGATCCCTTCTTTACATCTCACTAAAGTGTTCTGAGGATTTGTCGGTGAAGTAACCCCCAAGGTCAGCCAACAGCTAAGTGGCCAGCCCAGGTTGAAATTGCTGCACTCCTGGCTGAATGTTGCTGGATCGACCCGTCCCTCATCTGGTATTCACCAAAAAAGCGCACAGAGCCTAGTAAGCCAACATTTAGAAGCAGACTGCATTGAAAAGGAGATAGCTTTCGTTTTCAGTTTCCCACCGGTGTTCAGATGACACAAGGACATCAGGCCTTCATACAGCCACTTGCCCTGAACCAGTAACAGTTCAGGCCAGGCCCAGAAAAATGGCCTTGACGTATTTTGCTGCCTGAGGTTTTGGATTGACTCCATTCTCCTCCCCCTGCCTTCTAAGACCTCTGCCTGGCCCTGCTACCACTCTCCAAGTGCCCACCCTGTCCCCAGTCCCACCCCTCTGCCATTCAGGACTTGTCCTCCTCAAAACTCAGGATCCACCTCAGGGTGGCACTCGCTGTTCTTTGTCAGCTCATTCCTGCCCCGCCTTCATGACTCGCCTCTTCCTAGTGGCCTCCCAGACAGCACCCGCCTCGACGAGATCCCCTGATGGGGACCGCTGTTGACTTCCACAGTGCCGGTTCCCCCACCTGGACCATTTTAAGCCACCAGTTTGACTTCACTGGCGCAGAGTTGGGAACACATGCGCACAGTCAGCTCCTGCAAGCTAATAGGGGCACACCACTGCACCCCCTGCCACCCCCATGGCCCATGGTGGGGAAGGCTGGCTTCACCTTTCTGTAGCTTAGAATCTTCCAGTGGCTGTACAGCTTTCAGGGGGAAGACCAGCCCTTTAGCCCTTTGTGAGTCCCCATCACCCTAACCAGCAAATCGTCACTAACTGGCGAGCCTCAGTTTCCTAACAATGATGATAATATTACCTCCCTCAGGGCAGCAAGAGCATTCCGTAAATGCACATTCTCCTACACTAGCATTACTGCTGTGACTATTATTATTATTATTATTATTATTATTATTATTATTAACTGGAGGCATGGAAGCCTTCGCATCACACAGAGACCCAAGCTTACTCCAGAACGTGACACAGATGGAGGAGCTCATTGGTGCTCAGGGCCCTGCGAGAGGAGCGCCCTCAGCCCCTTTGCTGCCACCCCTGCTTATCGGCACAAAGTGCTGACCGACTTTTCAGAAAAATGTTAACAACTCTCCCAAAGCAAACATTTTGATGTTATACTTCATCGTACTTGTGTGTTTTTACCGTACATTTTTCTTAAACACTGACTGTACTCTTCCCATGGGCCAGGCTCCATTCAAGCGCTTCACAGACGTGATGTCAGGGAACCTTCTCCATGCCCTTCTGAAATAGGTCCTCTTGTTATTTCCATTTGTGGATGACGAGGCTTAGACTCAGAGCAGTGAAGTGACCTGTCAAATCTGGGGTACCTGGTACCTGGGACCCAGGATCGGAAAGACGGGTGCCAGGTGCACCCCCAGAGACTGGCAGCTGCAACCTGGCCCTTAGGCTCCTTGTCATTTGGGAACGTGGTCAGGGCCAGGTGCTCTCAGGGGTTGGGGGAGGCAGCCAGGGCCTGCATTCCTCTGCTCAGGGGCCCACCATGCTGGGGCCTTTGGCTCTTGCCTTCTTGCTCAGAGTTAATACAACTCCTTAGGAATACTCAGCACTTTCTGAAGTAGAGGGTAGAGAGTTTGCTGAAGGTTTGACATGACTTAAATCAGATCTAGATGGAAATAATAACACGAACACCCTTTCCAATGCACCCAGTCCATACCTTGCCTGCTGCTGAGGGGGTGGGGCCAGTACTCCCCCACCCTGTGCTCCCACAGAACCTCAGCCCCCACCCACCCCATGTCCCACCTTACACCCCCACCCCACACTGCACCACCTGCTCCTCGAGCCCAGAGGGTTTTGGAAATTTTACACAAGGGCCCTCAGATCCTCAGTCCTTGTGGCTCAGGGAGACAGAGCCCAAGAGAGGTTTGCCAGTTGCCAGTATATCCCAGAGGGAGGCCTTTGGAGCAGAGGAGGAGGTGCCAGGCTATTACTCCAAGGCCAGGAGAAATCATATGGCCACAGTGTGTGCTTAAGGAAACAAGTGCTGATTAAGTTAGATCGAAGCACTTCTCCCAGACCCATCAGTGCGGGGCCGACAATCAATTGCTGCTTTATTACACGCCACACGTTTTAATCAGAATCAATAATCTTCATGAAGAACAATTAAACAATTATTCCTCCCTCTATGGAGTTTCTCTATAGAAATCGATGGGATGCAGAGACACAGTGATGGGTGAACGATGCATATTCAAGGCCGGCCCCATGCACCCTGCGGTCCCCATTCCCATGGCCACAGACAGTGAGTGGCCTTGACAGCCAGAAGCGCCCTCGCCCCACCCCCACCCCCCACCCGCACAAAAGGACTGAGTAGATGCTTGTAATGTTTTAGGATCAGGTTGACTGCAGGGGAAAGGAAATTCAGTGTTAACCAGAGCCCAAAATCAGAAAGGAAGAGCGAGCTCAAAGGAACCTGGAGGTGCTCGGAAGAGTCCCCAAGCCCCTGAGATCCCAGCTGACAATCGCAGACACCTGCATTTGATGGCATGGAGGTCAGGGGACTCTAGTGTGCATTCACCTTTGTCTGTCTGTCTCTACTCTGAGAGTGACACATCCCAGGAGCCAGTGGGTCTCCAGTCAGATCCAAGCCAGGGCACATCCAGAGTCAACTATAAGAGAACCCTACACCCCCCGAACCATGGAAGGACTCATCTCTAGATTGTCTATTCCATGCAGTCAGCAGTGAACAGTGGTTCCCATTATACTCCTGGGGAAGCTTTCCAGGAAGAGCAGCCTCTCATGTGTCCCTGCTCTGTCCTTGTTTGCTTACAGAGCGGCCGGCGCCCCCCAGAGAGCTTCTGGTGCCCCAGGCAGAAGTGACTGCACGCAGCCTCCGGCTCCAATGGGTCCCGGGCAGCGATGGAGCCTCCCCGATCCGGTACTTTACTGTGCAGGTGCGAGAGCTGCCCCGTGGAGAGTGGCAGACCTACTCCTCGTCCATCAGCCATGAGGCCACAGCCTGTGAAGTCGAAAGGTACTGAGAGAACCAGGAGGACGCTCCCCCAGCAACTGGGGCCCTGCTGCTGAGGGTCCCTGCCCTGGCCTCCTGCAGCAGCTCCTGCCCACAAAGCAGAGAGTCTGTGCAGCCCATGGAGATGCACCACCAAGAGCTCATGCCCCCTTCTTATCAACACTTCCCGTACAAGAGGGCCCAGAATCCCTGGGTCCTGGAGCCACTTCCAAGGGCCCCACCTAGGCCTCTTCCCTGCACAGCCGGTTTGCACACCCTGGGCCCCAGGGCTGGCGATGCATGGATGAGGGAGAGGTGAGCCTGGATGTGTGGGCTCAGGTGTCCTAGACCCTCTAGAGGCCAGTGTTGGGGGAGAGTGTGGAGATGGCATGGGCCCAGCCACTGATGTCAAAGGCTCTTTGAACACTCTCTTGAAAGCAGCAAAGCAGCAGGGAGATAGGTTGCACCTCTAGTGCTGTCTTTTGTTGGTGTTGGCTTATGGGGCCATGGAGGGGCAAGTCCGGGGAACAAAGTGAGAATCCATCCACTTATTCAGTTATGTGTTAGACTACTAGGCACAAAGCACTAATAGCAGCTACACTCTGCACATGTTGTCTCACTTGGTCCTCAGGACTGATTTACAGTCCTGCCCCCTCTTTACAACTGCAGGAACTGAAGCGGAGAGAGGTGAAGTAAACAGTGCAAATCACACAGAGGGGCATCCTCGGGTCCCTGCGTCCTCACCAGCGTGCATGCCGACGGGGGCTCTCCTCAGTTCTGTTAGGTCGGAGGGCCCTGCCAGGCGAGACCTCCCCAATCACTCACTTCTCATCTGCCCTGATTCTAGTTACTTACTGTTGAGCTCACTCTCCGGTTATGGGGAGGAGCTGCTAGTAGTGAATCTCTCTGTCCTTGAGGGTTCTGGAGCCGCCACCATCATTTGGAGGAGGGTGGAGGGGCCGACATGGTGGGTTCCAGGCCACCAAGATTCCTCCATCTTGCAGATTCAGACACGCACTGTGCCTGGCACTGCACTGGGAAGCCTCACCTACCTTAGCTCACTGGATCTCCTCTGTAGCTGCAGCCCAGCCAGTGGGGGCATGAGGGGAACCTCCCACGGTGCCCAACCCTTCTCTTGTGCGAGGCCGCCCAGCTCCACTCTGCACTGCTGAATCGCAAGTCAGAGGCAAAGCCCCTGCGGCAGATCCTCAGAAATACCCCCTCTGCTCCCACTGCCCTGGGGGCACAGTTCAGGCTTTGATATCCGGCATGTTGGAGTATGGCTCTATCACTTTTTCCTAGATGTGACAACAGTGGGATTGAAAGAGAAGAGAAACCCCCCCCCCCTCACTGCTTTGAGGGCCACGAGCATAACAGAGGTGAAATATGATGCACAGGCTGAGGGACCTCCTGGGAAGAGGGATCATGAAACCGGAACTATCCGGGCTCAGACCTGGCTTCTGCCACTTGCCATTTGGGTGATCTTAGGCAGGTGACTTGAGTGTTCTTGGACATCTCCTGCTCTCTTGCCTTTTGAGTTGTTGTGTGGTTTGGAGATGATGACTGTAAGGCACACTAGGGCACTGGCCCTGGAGCAGTGGTGGCCGTTGGTGTGATAGTATCCCACTTGTTGCTGTCACACTGTGCCCCCAGGAGGCGCCGCTGTGTATTGAATATGGATCCTGACCAGAGTCCATGAGCAGCCCCAGGTGGGTCACACAGATTCTCCCAGGTCTCTGCTGCAGCCCTTTTGGAGAAGGCCTTTGGAGCCAGTTACAGACTGAGAAGGAAGGCGGCTCATCAGCTCATAGCTGCAGCTGTCTGTGACCGTAAATGATATTCCTTGGCACAATGACCGTCCTTAATCACATGATCCAAATAGCTCTTCTGCTCTGACTGGAAATCGAGGTTGAATGGTCCCCAAGAACAAGGAGGGTTTTCAGCAGGACCTAGTCACTGCCTGGCCTCCCACTTGGAAGGGAAAACATGTGTTCACATACATATGTTGGCAGGCTGGCGTTTGGAAAACTCGTTATGTTCCTGCCACCGTGATCACACTCCTTGTGTTAGTTAGGAAAGTGACACTGGAGCAGCATCCATTTGATGTTCATCTCTGAGATGTTCTCCAGAGTGATCCAGTCAAGTAGCTTCCAGGTGGCTAAAGCTCTCTGTCAGGACTTGGTTACTGTCATTACTATCACTGCCATCATCATTACCATTATCACCTCATTGTTACTCAGCATTCTGTCATTTTCAAAACCATTTCCATATGTTGTTTCAAATGACGTTCATAAGGACTCTGTGGAGATGCAGACTAGGTTTTTTATTATTCCTGTTTTACAGAGGAGGAAGTCGAGGCAAGATGACATAAGTAATGAATATGCTGTGCTTCATATTCTCCAAATGCAAGAGATAATCCCTAAGATTCTTCATAGCTCAAGAGTCCAGTGGGCCTGTAACTTGAGGCTTCAAGGACACAAACCATGTCTTGCAGCTAATTTACGAGCATCTGTGATGTAGTGAAAACCCAGTACATTAGAATCTAAACCTCAAGGTTTCAGCAGTCAGTCTACCCTTAGTAGCCATGTGGCCTTGGAAAAGTCTGTCACTTGCTAGGCCTTCATTTTCTCATCTGTGAAAGGCAGGGCTGGAGCAATGATCCTGTTGTTCCTTTCAGCTCTGTGAGCACAAGATTTCCCTCAATACTGACCACCAGCGAACTGGCAGACAACAAGAAAGACAATCCAAAATAGTCAAACTGCCTCCCCAGGTTTCTGCCAGCATGTCACTTGCCCTCTGAATGACAGCAGTAGAACTAGAGAGGCATGGCTCTCAACCCTCCAGAGGAAAGCACTCCTAGTTGCAGGTGCCATCCACCTGCAACCCGGGAAGTCTCCTGGCATGGCCCTGAGGGGCAGGTGAGTGTGGCCAGGTGTGTCCAGCCTTACTTAATACACCACACTCTATTGCACTGGGTGCTTAGCTTAATTAGCAATGTGCTCATGGATATAAATAACTTTACCCCTTTGTGTAACCATTTGAAAGAAAAAAAATCCAACTACTTTTTCTAAAGCCTTCTGAAATCAAACAGACTAATTGTGTGCTTGGGACTTCATGTTGGAAAGGAAAGGTCCATGTTTCAGGACAGACAGTTTAATTTGGTGTAGGAGAGACTGTTGTCAATTTCCTAATGGGCCAGAACTAGGACAAATGCTTCCTCTACCTATCAATAGAAAACATGTCACAGGCAGAATCCCAGGAAAGCAAAATTGTGTACAATGCCGTGGTATAATCTCCCTTCGTGTTTAATAATCCTGATGGCTACATTTTATTTTTATCCTCTACCTATCAATAGAAAACATGTCACAGGCAGAATCCCAGGAAAGCAAAATTGTGTACACTGCCGTGGTATAATCTCCCTTCGTGTTTAATAATCCTGATGGCTACATTTTATTTTTACCAGTTGCATGAAATCTGCTAATGGCCAAAAAACATAAAGAGTTTAACCGTTGAAATCTAGTGACTGTGAGTACATGTAGTGAATGTGGGTCTAGACCGCGAGGGAGAGGGTTGTGTTTGAGACATATTCAGGCACTGCCAGCTTCTGCTTGATGGTTAAAGTTGGGAGACTGAGTAGCCTCCCACAGAAATGTAATAGAGAGGAAGAAGAGGAGGGCTTTGAGCAGAGGGCCACAGGGACATTCTGGATGTCATTTTAGGATAGAACAGTGACAGTGTGAGCTCAGGTGATGGTTGTACACCCAGCAGTAATGGGTTCTGCTCTTCCTCTGATCTCTCCTGCTGCAATAGGTGCCATAGATCCAAACAGAAGACATAAAGGCCGAAAGGGAACTACAATGTAAAACCGTAGGGATTCAATAAAATTCAACATGCTGGCTCTAGCTCCATTGGGTTATTTCATTTTTTTCTCTTCTGTGTAGGCTTTAAAAATACTGCCATTTAAAAATGAGGTGAATTTGACCAAGGATATTATGCATGGGTTCAATATTCTTTGTGCTTTGTGATGCAAATAATGAATTCTTTTTTTTTTTTCCCAAAAGATGACCGGTAAGGGGATCTTAACCCTTGACTTGGTGTTGTCAGCACCACGCTCAGCCAGTGAGCGAACCGGCCATCCCTATATGGGATCCGAACTTGTGGCCTTGGTGTTGTCAGCACCACACTCTCCTGAGTGAGCCACGGGCCGGCCCCCAATAATGAATTTTTAATAAATATTTTCAGAGGTTACCTTCAAGATAAATAAAGGCAGCAGTGGATAGCTTTTAAAATGTTCAGGACTCATATATTTTATATTATAACCAAAATGAATGAATGGGTATATGGCGCTTCTTCTGTTTATAAGGCTCTGCATTTAGCTCTGTGGGAGGAATGTTGAACTGTAAGCCACGTCCCACTCTCCACCTCTGCACCCCAAAATACTTTGGCTGTGGAAGTAAAAGTTGTGTATGTGATTAACAGTCTGAGGCAGTACAAGTATAAACTTGCTTTCTAAATATATTTGCTTCCTGATTTGGACAGGAATTGTTGATAGCAAGTTTAGATACTGAAGGTCCTATGTTATCCAAATCGATTCATTTCCTGAGTTTTGGATGGTTAGAAGTGAGACTTTAGATAACAGGAGTTATCTAACAAATGTACCTAAATCTATTCAGTTTCTGGGTTTGGATAGCGGGAATTTGGAAGGCAAGGCATGTGGAACGTGCAAAGGGCTGAGGGAACCTGAACACAGCATGGATGGGCTTCCTGGTGGACAGCAAGGGCACCAGGGGCTGGTGAGTCAGAGAAAGCCTTCAGGAAGACAAGAACAAGAAACATTTATTAGCTGCCTACTGTAGGCTAGGAACCATTGGACTACATGAGGGTGGGTTATGTCATTTAATTTTCACAATAGCCCTGGGAAGTACGGTTGCTGTTATCTCCATTTTTATAGATGAATGAAATGAGATGGAGAGGATTTAAATTACTTGTCTAGGTTAGTAATGGCAGAGCCAGAATTTGTACTCTGCTTGGCCAACTCCAAAGCAGAGGCTTGAATAGGCCTGGAAGAGAGAACAGAGAGCAGAATTTGGGGGAATTAGAGGTGTTGAAGGAGAGTATTCCAGGACAACTTGTTCATTTTTTCGTTTATCAAGTAGTCATTGAAGTCCTGCTCTGCCATAGGAGGGAGCTTGGCAGGAGCAATGGCATGGGGGTAGAAGTGCGAGGATTAGGCTGTGTTAGGGCTAGGAGATAGACCAGAAGCCCACAGGAGCAGCTCTGCAGAGAGGTGAAGAGGGGGTCACAGGTGAGCTAGGGAAGCATGTCGATTAGGAGAAGAGAAACCATCACCATCGTCACGTCTCATCTGTGACGCTCCCTTGCTCTGCCTCCAAGTCATCGTTTCCCTGTTTTCAGGGCACCAATGTGGCTTCCTACCAAGAGGGTTAGCTCCTGCTTCATGTGCCCTGCAACTCCCAGAGACAGTTAATCAATCCTTGGGGAATGAAGTGTGCCTGACAAAACACAGGTCTAATGCTGTGAACTCTTTCTGTCTCCTTTGCACTCGACCCCATTTGTCTCAGAGCTGGGCTAATCCATCCAGCCACCTGACATGCACTTACTGCACACCGCTGTGCCCGGTGTGGCTCCCAAACCAGGCGGGATGGCAGAGAAAGAGTGTCTTCAAGGAGCTTGCATTGTGGCCGTAAATACCCAAATCGGTAGCGAACAGCGAAGTAGTAAACTGTGCGATGCTTAATATAACGATGAGAGTCATTTCTGGAGCACCTACTGTGTGCTGGATACTGTGCTGATTTTTACGTGTGTCCTCTTATTCAACCCCCCAAGAAACTTGAGAGATGAGCAATAGCGTCCTTATTCATTCTTTCCTTCAGCGAATAGTTACTGAGTTCCTCCCTGGTGCCAGGCTGTTCTTGGTGCTGGGGATAATGCAGTAAATGCGGCAGACGTAGGCCCTGTCCTCATGAATTTTGAGTCTTGTAACAAAGACAGGCATCAAGGAAACAATTAGTTACAAATTGTGATAAAGAAGATGAAGGAAATGAACGACGTATAGAGAACAATTGACAGGGGGTGGGCATTTACTTTATCTATTTAAGTTGATACTTAATGGATAATAACAGTAAGAATAGCTATTAGTTAGTGGGCACTTACTATGCGCCAGACTCTCTTCTAAGTGCTTCACCTGAATTTAACTCTAACATAAGCCTCATGGTGTTGGTGCCATTATCAGCCCAGATAAAGAAACTGAAGCAAAGTAACCTTCCCAAGGTTAACCGGGAGTTAGAAGCGAGGCAGTCCGACTTCAGAGTCCACGTTCCTAATGGCCTCTCCATACTGCCCTGCGATACAAGAAGGGGGAGAAGGGGTTCGCCATGCCAATGTGGGCGGCTCAGGCAGGAGAGGCAAGGAGGCCTCAGGCGAAGAAACATGTGGCCATCACCAAGACTGCGTAAAGTGACTTCTGTGAAGCTAGGAACAGATGGGAAGTCATTTGTTTATTTGTTTTAGCTTTAAAAAGGCTATATCCCAGAAACCTGTAGCAAAGATCATTCTTAATGGTGGGACTTCAGAAGCATCTCTGTTAAAGCGGCATCAGCTTTTCCCAGGTGTGGAAGCTGAGTGCAGAGAGGTTGAGAGACATATCTGTGGTCAGGGTCTAGGAAGTAGCAAGGTACAGTCAGGTTCTGGAGGGCTTCGAAGGCAGAGCATTCCCTGAGGTGCTAGCTGATAGAGAACCACTGTAATCTGATCTTACGGATGAGGGTAATGCGAAAGTAGGGATAGAAGAAATGTTTCTGGTCACAGTTTCCAAAAATTATCCATTTCTTTTTTTTTTCAAAGATAACCATTAGAGTTTTAATTTGTCTTTTGGCATCCTTGTTAGCTTGTGGATGTAAACACTTTTTAAAAAAAAATTACTTAGAGGGTTTTTTGGGGTTTTTTTTTTTTTTTTTTGGTTTTTTATTGGTTATGAATATTCATGAGATACAAAGCTGATTGTCATCCCTTGTGCCCAAGAAGTGAAGGCCAGATCCATACTGGCAGCATTACCACAAATTGCGTTTGTACCCCATGTCCCCCACCCAATTATCCCCAACCTCCCTCCCTCTCCCCCTTTCCCACCCACTCCACTTTGTATCCCAAGGTACGTCCTCTCCCCCAGCAAGTCCAGCGCACCACTGTGGTCTTCCTTTCCTGCCTTCCATCTCTCTTAGCTCCCACTTATGAATGAGCACATGAGGTATTTATCCCTCTGTGCTTTGCTTATTTCACTCAACCAAGTTTCTCCAAGCTCATCCATGATGACTATCAATTTCTAAAAAGTAGAATCATTTCTTTACACAAAGTATAACCCAGAATCGAATGTACTAAGCAGGTGGAAGTGGGGCTTCTGTTGATTGATGCAGGGGGTGTGGGGATCTGGACTCACAGAGGGTTCTTCAGAGTCTTAGGAGCTCCACAGTGCTCAGTAGGAAAACCACTGGTTTACAAATTAATTGGGAGTGAGAAGAGAAGATTGGTTTTCAAGTGATGGGGGCTTTGGCTTAGAATGGTAGTTAAGGACACTTAGAGATAGTATGGACTCGAGGCACAGGGGTTGAAGAGTTCCAAGTCACCCCAAGTCTCTGTTCTGGGAAACTGAGAGGATGGTGTAGCCATTGCCTGATACGGAGCTGCTGTAGAATGGGAAGAGGAGTAACGCAGCTTCCTTACCTGCTCTTTTTGAGGTAATGTGAAGGACATCCAAGAAGAGCTGGCCAGATACTGACAAGCATGGGCATTCAGAAGCACACATTGGATCACTGACTGGCTGCTAGGGCTTGATGAAGATTTGAGGGTCACCTGCACAGAAGAGTTTGGCTCAAGTCTTAGTCTTAAGCATGGCATGGGGCTTGGCATATGAGACACAATAAATGTGGAATGGCTCCATGGATGGATTGACCAGTGGACAGGTGGAGAATGGATGGATGGAAGGAAGGAAGGAAGGAAAGAAAGAAGGGTGGATGGATGGATGGAAGTAGGCTAAAGTGGTAACACCAAGTATTGCCTCAGGGAAGCACGTGCCCCTAAAATCTTCTTCAAAAGGCTAGGGGCATTTTTTCATATGAATAATTTACACGGAAGAAGTCTTATGTAAAGTGACATGCAAATGTTGCTTTAAGACAGAACCCCCGTTTCAATCCAGGCCAAGCCACTTACCAGTTCTCTGGCAGTGGGCAAGTAAATTAATCTGACTGGGCCTCTGTTTTCTCATCCTTGAAATGGGAGTAATAATGACTCCTACCTCTCAGAGACGTTGTGCAGGTTAAATGGGGTAATGCCTAGTGCTTGGCACAGTGTCTGACTCTTAAATGGTGGGGCCCTGCCTATAGCTGGGGCAAGAGATAGACCTTGGAGAGTCCAGCCAGGCAGGGCCTGGCCAGTACAGACCTCCACAAAGGAGTACTTGGGGGTGAGGGAGGAAGTGAATCAGGCCAGAACTCACATTAAGTTCTGGATCAGTGTGAGCCAGGGCTAATCTCATTAGCTCCTCCTGAGCAATTCCCTGAGTTCCTTAGAGAGCAGTGATTTGCTGTGCAGGAGTATCTCTGATTACAGGAGGTGGCGGTGTCTCCTGAGGAGCCCCACGCAGAATCTCCCTCCCCTGGCCAGAAAGTTCTTCACTCACCTCCCCTATGTGAAATTCCTCTCTCCGTGGGCATTAGGACAGGACAGGGTATTCAAGAGTTACTCTCCGAACAGATTCAGGGTCCCCTTAAAACCCCTGCTCACTGCAGCTGGGGTTTGTTTCTACCTGTGAACAGCTTCCCAGCTGCAGGGCAATCTGTCTGCGGCTCATGCAGGAGCCCAGAGCTCTCAGGGCAGGGAAGAGATTTGCCCCTCCTTCCACCTGCCAGGGCTTCACTGGGAACACCTGAGGACAGGACAGTGTGGCAGGGTCCCCCAACAGTCATGGGTCTCTTTTGCATTTCAGGCTGAGGCCCTTCACCTCCTACAAGCTGCGCCTGAAGGCCACCAATGACATTGGGGACAGCGACTTCAGTTTGGAGACAGAGGCGGTGACCACACTGCAGGATGGTGAGCAGACTGGGGCCCAGGCCACTTCGCCAGCTGCTGTCTGAGACACTTACTTCTAGAGAGAGGCCCTACTTTCATTTTGAGCCAGGAAAGGGTCACTGGGGAGCGGTGGTGAGCGGTAGAGAGCGGTAGAATTCCATTAGTAACAGACAGCCTAGAGTATTCCTGTATACCCCATGGTCATAAATCAAGGCTTCGAAGGCTTCCAAATGGAATGGAAATTTCTCTGATTGGCTTCCAAAGCCCCTACTATCCATTAGCATCCCAGAAATTGAATAATTGATAGATTCATTAAAAATAAATGTCATCGTGTAGCTGGGTTTTAAGAGGTTTTCCCAATTTTTCTCATTCCCAAGCCACTCTGTTTGACAATAGCACAGGTAAGTGATGGGAAGAAAGACCCTCTCAAAGCTCCAGGTGGATTTTTCACCTCTGCTGTCCTACCTTGGAGGCATTGGGCCTGAAGATTCATTGTAATTTTGTGTGACCTGATCCTCCCAGACCGCAGTGAGCCTGGGAGACAGCTCCATCAGACACATCCAGTGGTGATAGCCACACTGCTAGGATGAAAAAGAATGCATATTGTGTAGCAGACACTGAAGCTGCAACCCCAGGCCAGAAACCTGAGCACTTAGTTCACCCAGCAGTGCTTTATAATAATTCCCTAAACATACCCGCAAAGCGCTGTCTTTTCCATTTAACACACCAGTGGAACAATTTTCAAATAAACGAATTTGCAGTCGGCAACCCTGTGACCACACATCTTTGGTTTTGCTCTTTTTATAACCTGGGAGTTTAGTTTCTCCAACCCAAGGACTCACATGACCTTAGGGACCAGCAAAGGGATTGAGGTGAACCATTCTGGGCTTCTCAGCAACCTGCAGAAACTGTTCTGCTGCAAACCCGGCAATCCTAGTAGAACAGAATCTGTGCAGTCTTTTGCCCCTGATAAGAGGCGCCTTCCGACCACTCCCCCCGCCTCCCCCCCAGGCCCCAGCCATGCTCTCAGGACAGGCCGGATCTGCCCCTGGAGAGATAATAGTTGTCTTTTGTGGATCATGCTTTCTCACCCAACTGTTTCCTGAGCACTAACCCTGGAAGTTTATTAGAGCCCAGGGGAAAGCTAGTGAGGACAGAAGCCACAGGTCGCCCAGGGTAGAAGCTGGCCTGTGTATACTCATGTGTCCAGTAGTTCATCTAGCTCTGCTGGGTCCTGGGGGGACCGATCAGCCCCCAGGGAGCTCTCAATGTAGGGGAAACAAAAGAGGAGGCAAACCAGAGGTTCGAGGAGGCTGAGGCTACTTGTACAGAAAAACCTTCCCAATTAATCCATGGCCAATTTCACTCTAAACCACAAAGGAAAGGCTCCATTAGAACTAAAGTACAAAACCAAAACTATGTAAATGCGTTCATTTAATCTTACATTTAACACAATTGTAAATTTTCATCTAAACACTAATTCTTAGAGTAAAGAAAAAACATAGAAGCTGATTTTACTGTTGTAATATCTCTAACAAAATTGTGTGAGAACAAGATACAACAGCCTCCCTCTGACCTGGCACTGCTCAATCCCAATGGCCCATTTTTGAAAAAATATTCAAGGGCTTCTTCAGTCTCCCTGAAAGCCCTTTTTAATCCTTTGATATTCAAATCAGTGCTTTTGATTCTCCTATCTTGTCATCTTCCTTTTCTGAGACTTGCAGTTTCTTTTGCAGTGGATTTGCATTGTATTTGTATTATATTGTCTTCAGCTATGGCCAGAGAGTGGTAGGCACAGACTGACTCCGGAGCTTGGGGAACCCTACACTAGATAGGGAGGGTCCTTTGAGGACATGGATGGTTTGCTGATAAGCATTTTCTTACTATGGTGATTTTTATTTCCCAGCACAACCTCACAATTTGAGGATATTGGGACCGCCCTGTAATTGCCATCTAGTGTGACCAGGCCATTAGGAAAGCTGGGTAACGGGTCCACCGTTAAGATAGAACAACAGGAGAGTCAGAGGACATAGGATGGAGTTCTGTCCCTAAAGCAGAACTGAGAGGGCTGGAGGTGTGACTGACACAGGCACTACCAGAGGCGGGGAGGGCTGGCAGGTCCAGAGGAGAATCACAGAGCCGGTGACCCAGACAACGAATCTCAGATGCTGAGTAGAGTGAGACTCTGCAGGCACACAAGTTGGGGGTGTGGCGAAACCATCCTCAGTCATTCAATTCAATGAATATTTATTAAATGTAGAGTTTGCATCAGATCTTCTTTTGGGTCTCAGAGATCTTATAGTTTGGGATACATAAGCAGAGGGGCATAGGGAAGGGAGGTCAAAGAAGGCCTCCTGGACGTGGCAGATGACAAGGATTTTAGTTTGTCCAGAGTGCAGGGCATGGCCACAAGCAGAGGTGAAACCAAACTTGTCCCTGCAGAGGCCAGAGCAGAACCATTGTGGCTTCCTAGAATCATGACAGACCACCTTTCGGCCGTGCTGTCTGATGAAATCAGCCTCCTTTTGTGACAGTCACATTTTGTTTTTAAAACCAAGAGCACTGTGACCTGACTTAGTCATTTCCCTGTTCAGGAGAAGTAGTTCTTACCTAAGTACCTTCTGGGGGTCTCCCTCCCCTAGAAGATCTGGGTACTGCAGGGAGGGTCTCAGGCAGGGCGCTCCCAGGGGTCATTTCCCTGTTCAGGAGAAGTAGTTCTTACCTAAGTACCTTCTGGGGGTCTCCCTCCCCCAGAAGATCTGGGTACTGCAGGGAGGGTCTCAGGCAGGGCGCTCCCAGGGCACCATTGTTGGAGTGTGGGGCTCTCAGAAAACCCACATGGAGAGATCAAAACTCATTTGGATGTCTCAGTTTGGGTCTGTTTGTGGGGGATGAAGTCAGGGGCATTACCTTGTTGCCACTCTTATTAGGATTAGGTCCCTTCCTTCTGGGCACAGGTTTGGAAGAGGAACCTCAGGAAGCTCTGAGAAAGGGCAAGGAGAAGGTCTCCATGGGGAGAAGCGGGGCAGGGCCTGTGAGTTTCCCACACTTGCTCTCGGGGCTGCAGGGGAGGGTGGCTGAATACTGATGGGACCATTCTAATCCCTGCTTCCTTCTTGTGTGGGTTTCAGTTCCAGGAGAGCCTCCAGGTTCTGTCTCAGCAACGCCGCACACCACCTCCTCTGTTCTGATCCAGTGGCAGGTGAGAGCCAGGGGAATCTCACGGGTTTTGTACAACACGTTCTCATTCCCTGGCTCATTCAGCCATGTCGGCTGGACAAAGATTTTTGCAATTGAGAGCCGAGCCCTGTACTAAGTGTGTGAGGGTAGAACAAAGCAAATACCTTTGTCGGACTTGCAAACTTGAAGGGAAAATAGTGTCAAAGAATAATTTCCAAAATGTTAAAAACACGATTGCATTGCACACACAGAAGGAACTTGTACTCAGCTCACTAAGGAGGGACCAGCAGAACGACACAGCTGGTTCAAAGAGCCCTACAGCAGCTGCGTATTGACAGGCATTTGACAAAAAAAAGGCTTCTGTGCACATGCAAAACTGATCAGTGCCCTATAGGGCAGCAAAACTGTAACCTTTGGCGTTAATGTTTCTACAGAAATCATTTGCAACCAGTCAAAATATCCACAGAGTTACATGTATTTCACAAAGTCTCCAGTGAACAGTAATTCAAACCAAGGATCATCCTCCTGTGGGAGGGAGGGGAGCCAACCAGAGAGGGAGGGAATGCTGGGGAACCCAGCAGAGGCCATCAGGGAACTGTCCTAAATAGAAAGTTTGCTCAGGGCCGCGAGGAAGGGTGAATTCTGGGTGTGGCAGTGGCTCAGCTCTGCAGGCACCAGGGACAGGGGCCCAGGGCTGGGCAAGAGCAGGGGGTGCTCAATACATACCTGGGCAAAGAGTGAGCTGGAGACCTCTCCTGGCTGGGGCTGCGGCCGGAAAGGCGAGGGGTGGGGAAAGAAGTACCGAGCGGCCAGCACCCCGGCTTAGACTCCTCAGGGGTGGCTTGGACACGGCCTCCCTGGGTATAGCTGGAGGCTGACATGGGTGGAGGAGCTGGGAAGGAAAGTGGAGTCAAGATCAGGGCTGGAGGGCTGGAGGAGCTAACCAGGAAGGTGCTTTCTCCGCGGCGCCAAGGTTGGCCACTGGCTTCTGAAGGTCCCTGCTTACCCGTTATGTTGTAACTCAGTGATGTCAGTGTTAGGTGGAATCATATGAAATTTGACCATGTTTGAGGTACAAAAGTGGCAATATCATATGGTTCTCCCTAACATAACTTGAGACTACCATATGAGGGATGTAAAGCAGGGTTTGTAAACTGGGTTTCTGTCAAGAATGCATCATCTCCTTCAAGCGTGACGGAGCACTCGTGGGTCCCTCTTCGCCTTCTTTCTATTGCATACAAGAGGGCTTCTCTGGATAGGATAGGGATGTTTCAGGATGAAAAAGAGACATTTCCAAATGGCTTCTGGTGAAATTGAAAATTCACTGCCGTGGCACTTAGCCTATTTTAGGTTTACTAGTGTGTAGGAGATTGGAAAGGGAACCAAGAAACTGTCTGCCTCTGTGAAGTCATTCCCCCAGTCCATCTGGAGCCTCTGGTAAAGTGACAAGGGGCCTGGCGTTAGGCCTCTTAATTTTCCATTGAGTGACCGTGACCCTGACGGGCCTCTCTGGCTCCAGGTTCCTCCTCTGTAACAATAGAAAGCCACAAAGGTGATCTCTGAGGTCTCTTGCATGCAAGATCTCTTGTGTTTGAGGTCTGTTAGACCTCCGCAGTCCGTGCTTCAGCCCTGACTTCTATTACGATCTTTGGTAGGAGGTAGAAAACATTCAAAATGGAAATTTAAGGTCCCAGGCCCTTCTGTTTCCCACTCTCCACTAACATAATCAACCAAAGGAAGATTGGTCCTTTGTACTGAGCTAAATTCTAAGAGAAAATTAGCATTTTCTTTGTATACATGGCAGTTGGCTGCCAATAACCCCACTCTCCACTAACATAATCAACCAAAGGAAGATTGGTCCTTTGTACTGAGCTAAATTCTGAGAGAAAATTAGCATTTTCTTTGTATACGTGGCAGTTGGCTGCCAATAATGAGGTAAGCTCCTTTTCTATAGTGGCAGCGAGCATCGGGGCTGGGACGCGTCACCCCCTGCAAATAAGAGACTATGAACATGGTGCCGGCTGTCAGCCCCAGTGTCCTGCCTCTGACAGCACGGGGCTCTCAGCCCTCTCCATTGCTGTTGGACAGCTCTGTGAAGTGGCGCAGAGCTGCACTAAAGGAACCTGGCATACGTGTCCATCCATCAGCTGTCCCCCTTCAGAGCCCAACAGAACAAACTAATTGCAAGAAACCCAGAGCAGGAGGTGGTCAATACGATGTATTGTAGAAATAAATGCCTGTCAACTGCCAGGCAATTGAAGTATAATTAAAATTATGAGTAATTTACTAAATTAGGATGAACAGAACAAAGAAACTAGGTTTAAATATAGATTTGCGTTCCAGATGAAATGTTTCACCTGTAAACCTTTTTTTTAGTAATTTGTTTAAAAATGCAAACACCGGCTATAATTTCAAGGCTGCTGACCCATTTAAATGTCTCCCCCATAGCAATCTGTCAGATTTGATTCTTCTTAGTAGGATAATCAATCTGCCTTTCATGGGGTCTGATTCTGTTTGAAATCTAAGGATTTGAACATATATTCTAGACAGTGGTGGCATTGTGTTCACACTGAGCATAGCTCATAATAGGCATTAATGTTTCTGAATTGATCACAACATTTAAGCTGGCTGTTCTAAAACTTCCAGTGGGTCATACAGTCTGCCACTCAAGAGCATTTCCCCTCATGTTGCTGTAGATTTCTCTAAGTGGATTTTGAGGGTATTTTCTAGCCAAGAAAAAAACCCAAGCAATAGATCACATCATGCAGAAAGCTCTCAGCAGAGGACAGACTCAATGTTGTAATAGGCACCTTCCTAAGCGGAGCATTACAGCTGCCTGGGCAGTCGGGGAGAAAGGCACAGGGCTTCTTCGGAACACGTCTTTGGATTTCTTTTTCTCTTCAGTTCCTCCATGATCTGCAAAGTGTCAGCTCCTTTGTAGGGTGCTGAGCACCAGAGGTGAATGAGACAGATGGCAGAACTTGAAGAGCTTTCATTCAGTGCAGTGAGCTTGATAACACATTAGTGGAAAGACAGCAGAGGGCGAGCAACTCACTCTGGCCAGAGGGACAACTGAATACACTTTGCAAGATAGACAGGACTGCCCCAGATAAAAAGTAGGTAGAAGAGCATTCGGCACCAGGCACAGCCTGAGCAAAGGCTCGGAGGCATGAAGTCACTGGGTATCTGATGCTGTGTTTTGGAGGAAGGCATATTGGGCATCCTGTGCTCTGCTCAACTATTGGGATTTAATCCCAGAGGAATCCCTTTTCTACTCTTCAGGAAATGGAAGTCATGGGAATATAAACTAAAAGCTCAGACGCCAAAGGGACCATGGTGGTCAGATGAGATTTGGACTTGCATTCCAGCTGTGCCTCGTACTCCCCATGAGACCTTGGGCACTGGGTTTAACCTCCCTAAGCCCCAGGTCCCCATCTGTAGAGTGGGGAGAGTTAGGCCCTGCCCCGCCTGCCTCCCCACCTAAGCAAAGAGGGAGCTTGGCTGGAAAGCCTGCAGCACTGCACAGAGGCTGTCAGCTGCTGTGGCCCAGCCTGGTACTGTGCAGGCAGCTGGAAGGAGTGAGGCTCAGTCAGCTGTTGTGGCCCAGCCCGGTACTGTGCAGGCAGCCGGAAGGAGTGAGGCTCAGTCAGCTGTTGTGGCCCAGCCCGGTACTGTGCAGGCAGCCGGAAGGAGTGAGGCTCAGTCAGCTGTTGTGGCCCAGCCCGGTACTGTGCAGGCAGCTGGAAGGAGTGAGGCTCACTGTGGGAGTCCTGCCTCCTCTCAGCCCCATACCCTTCGTGCTACTCAACCCTGCTGCCTCCAAGACGCGCCGTCCTCCTGAGTCTTCCCCAGTGCACTGTCCTCTTCCTGCCTTCTATATTGGGTGATATAATCCAGGTACACTCTGACAAGCCATCTGCATTTTAACAGGGAGCTTCTGAGAAAGGAAAACACATTCAGGACCCCCCAAGGAATCTGCTGGTAGAATTTCTGCTATGTGGTAGGCAGAGTGAAGACATTTTTAGGAGGGCTTGCCAGTTTCCTTCAAGCATCTGCCCATACAGATGGCCAGTCCAGGATGAAATTAAGCATACATGGAGTCATCTTAGACCACTGGGCAAATTCAACTCAATTCCACAAGCATTGACTGAGCACCTGCTGTCCTAAGTCCTGTCCCAGGTGCTGTGGGGAATATAGAGATGAGCAAGACACAGACACAGCCTTGTACTCTAGGGACAGGTGCTAAATCAGAAACCTTAGGCTCAGTGTGATCAGGGCTAAGGGCTGGGAGAACCAGTCTGGGGGTGCAAAGGGAACCTTTTGTTTAGAGTCATATGAGTGTAATACTCTGGAGACCATCTAGCCAGACTTGACGATTGAGCCTAGGAGGTTGAGCAACCAGCCCAAGCTCCCACCGCAAGATGGTAACAGAGCCAAGACTTGAATCAGGAGCCTGAACTTGGCCCTTCACTTCTTGAACTCACATGTTACATGGAGCTGCCCTACTGATGCCTTCAAGGACTTCCGGAGTTGTAGAGCCCTATTTCATGATTACAGATAAATTTATCCCAAACTCTAGGAATAGAAAGTGTGGTTAAACCCAATTCAGAATGCCATGCAGGCAGGCCCTGGAGTCTCCATGGAGTCCCTGGGCCCTTTGAAAGTGAATATTGCATTAGGAAGATGGAGCCTGCTCACAGAGAGGCCTGGACCAGTTGCAGCCTTTAAAGAAGCTGCCCTCTGGGCTGTACAGCCAGCTCCACCCTATCCCAAGGCCTAGAAGACTCCTGCTAGGATAGGAACAAACTTAGACTCTTCAGATGCTCAGCATTTCTGGTACAAACAGCCATCAGTTAGTCTGTTGGCCAAATGTGGACTCCAGCCTGATGGCTGGTGGCCATTGTGCCTCTGGGGCGAGGGGGCTTGGCCTCTTCTCCTCATACCTCTAAACCATCCTATCCACCTTGGTTAGAAATATTTGTGAGTCCAAGATCGGTAACCCTCAGCCCCTTCCCCTCCATC